TCCCTGCCCCAGAGCGCTTCCAATCTAAGTGTAAGGCAGGAGGCAATGGGCTGAGAGGCAGACCGATAGGAGAACGCAAGGAAGCAATGAGCCAGCGCTGGTTGGCAGGACGGGCCAGGGCTCCATTCACCCGCGACACAGCTGTATTTCTTTGCAAGACTGACACGTGACATCAGCTGTTTCCCAGTCATGGGAACGGACCCAAAATACACAGTCCTACTCACCTCGGCTTCTTTGGGGGTGTTCATGTAATTCACCCAGCAATGGAGAGGCAGTTTTCTCCATGAAATAGGCGAGGCCTTTCTAGTATAATCTGGACTAATTCTTTGAGGTCTCAGAAAATGCACAGAGACGGCCCCAGACTCACAGCTTCTGCAGGCACGTTTTAACCTTCGTAGGAGAGTCCTGAGACTCTGCAGAGGGGCATCTGAGCAACGAATGTGTCGTTTAATGACGGTAAATGTACCAGATCTAAATCCCGCCCTTACGTGCATGCCTAGGGCTCACAAGGACATGGGGGGGAGAGGGGAAATCATATCTTTGTAGACAGAATTTAACTTTAAACTTAATCCCTGCAGACAAATTTGTCTCCCTCCACTGATATAATGTAATCTGTAGGGTTGCCAGATGGTTTAACCAAAAATACCAACCCCCCCAAAAAAAACACCGGGGAAAAAATTCTGTTGAGGGGGGGGAAAAGGGGGAGACCAAAGTTGTTGCACAAAAAAAAAAAAAAAAGGACCTGAGAGTTATTAAGCAAAAAAACCCAAACAAACTAGCATGTCCCCTTTAAGAAATGCCTTTGAGGCTTTTTGGCCCTATTTTCGCCTCCTGGCAGGGAAGAAAATCAGAACATTCTGAACATTTTAGGTGTCTGGTATTTTCTGAATTTTTTTACTGGACAGGAGGTGAAAATTCTGGACTTTCCGAGTCAATGCTGGACACCTGGCAACCCTGGTAATCTGGGCCTCCTTCCTCAACCCTGAGACAGGCAGACAAGCCAGAATCAGGCCCTTCGTGTGCGAATCATAGAACACTAGGACTGGAAGGGACCTCGAGAGGTCATCGAGTCCAGTCCCCTGCCCTCATGGCAGGACCCAGCACTGTCTAGACCATCCCTGATAGACATTTATCTAACCTGCTCTTAAATATCTCCAGAGATGGGGATTCCACAACCTCCTTGGGCAATTTATTCCAGTGTTTAACCACCCTGACAGGCAGGAAGTTTTTCCTAATGTCCAACCTAAACCTCCCTTGCTGTAGTTTAAGCCCATTACTTCTTGTCCTATCCTCAGAGGCCAAGATGAACAAGAGGTTCCCCTCTTGCCTGGCACATGGGAGGATGAGGGGGGTCTGGACAGCCAGGTACAGTGTAGGGACTGGATCCTGGCCACAAACTTGACCCCTGCGGGCCTCTGGACTGGACGGTCGAGGTTGGAACTGTGTTGAAAGGGCTGGGGGAGGCTTCCCCAACACTGCCGTAGGCTCTGTGCTTCCCCCGCCCCACGAGTCCTGGCCCAGGAGTCATGCTGAGGTGGGGGCTGCGTCAGGAGTAGGAAGGAGGGGTCTCTCGCTGTGGCTGTTCTGGGCTGCGCCGGCCAGTGACAGATCTCGGGAGGCTGTTGCTAACTGGAGCAACTCGTGGGGCGACTCTTAATTTATCCCAGGGCCCTTCCGGTCCCAGAGCTGCCTACAAACGGTCCCCTTGACCCCCCCCCTCCCCCCGTCTCCTCCTGAGCTGGCCTCTTCCTCAGCCTGCGTCACTGGTGCTTTCAAGACATGCTGTTGGCAAAGGTAGCTGGATTGAGCTTCGGCAGTAGTGACGCGGAGCCCTTTTCATCTGCAGCTTTCACAGGGCTGTACAAAGATGCTTTAGCTCCCATTTTACAGCTGGGGAAACTGAGGCACGGAGCATGGCCTTGCTGGGAGGAGAACACTGGGATCCTGATGGCTGCTCTGGTGCCATCGTTCGCAGCTAGAATAAAACGTTCCTGAGAACTGAATCAAAGCTAAGGAAAGATGCGGGGCTCAGCTGCGACCGGAGTATCGATGGTTCCTGGCTCAGAGGATCTGTGGGCACCAGGGGCGGGGAGGAGGGCGGTGGCGCTTTGTCTTGCTCCCACTCCCTCCTGACATGGGTTCATTGTGCGATGCTGTTGCGTGCCAGGACAGGCACAAGGGTTCCCTTCTCTGTAATCCAGGCGAGGGGGCTGGAGCCTCGGGCTGGCTCGCGGCGTGGGGGGTGGGTTTCCCCCGACGGGTGTGAGATCGGCAGGGTTGGTCCGTCTCGGGACTCGGCTGCAGTGAGAGGGCCACTTGGGGTGGAACGTCTCCATCAACGCTCTGCATTTCCTTGCTGCATTTGGGTCCCCTCTGGGTCCCAGCATTGACTTGGCTGCCTTTTCTGGAGTGTTCGAGCTCAGGTATCAAAGATTTAGAAAGGAGTTTGCACCAGCAGCTGCCCCCCCAAGAGAGAGCCACAATGCAGCGCCCTCAGGCCCTGGCACGAAAGCATTGCCGTCCCCCTGCCCCCGATGACTGAGATTCTTAGTTTCCACATGGAGGAGCTCTGGATTTTCCTGGTCACTGGTGAAGCTCCACAAACCTTTGTAATGGCTGGGACTTCACCCACCACTGACATGCTGCCACCTCTGGCAGGCCCGACCAAAGAGGGTGCGGGGCCCACGGGGGCATGTTGTGGTTGGCTGCACCGCCAGGGCAGTGAGTAGAGTTGCCAGGTGTCCGGTTTTCGCCTAGAGAGTCCGGTATTCATGGCCCGTCTGGTTTAAAAAAAAAAAAACAACAAAAAAACAAGAGAAAATACATGTCCGGTATTTTCTGTTTTTCTTGGACGGAAGGCTGGCGGGGACATTCTTCCCTTTCTGCATCTGACTGGGGTGGGGGAGCAAGGAGCACGGGGATTTTTAAAAGTGCAGCAACCCCCCCCTTTTTTTTTTCTTTTTCTCAACCAATTTTTTTCCTGCCATGTTCTGGATTTTTTGTGAAAGCATCTGGCAACCTTAGAGGCAGGCGGCCGGGTGCCGGGCGGTGCAGGGACCTGACGGTGCGGGGCCCAAGGCAATAGCCTTGCTCGCCTTGCCCTAAGGCTGGGCCTGGCCTCTGGGGTGGGGTGTGGACACAGTCTAGGAGTCCATGGCAGCGTTTCACAACAGGGAGCAGCGAATAACTGTGCCTCACTAAAGCCCCAGGGAGAAGTCGAGGGGCAGTGGCGAGCGGCGTTCCCTCAGCGGGGCTTGTCAGCTCACTCCTGGTTGCTCACAGGTCACCCCAAGCAGCTTTGCTCATGCAGCCAGAGTTTGGGGCATCGCTCCTGATTGACGGGGGACGCTGGGGGGAAGACCTGCGGCTCCACGGCACTGCTTCCCAGAGGCCACAGGACCAGGCGCCCCCGATGGAAAGCGAGTGGTTTTTAGAGCACAGCACAGGACCTTTCCCCCAGTATCTCCAGCCCCTCCACGCCCCATGCTTAAAGCCAGATGCGGCAAGAGGTGAGGGCTCTCCCGGGAGGGTCACAGCCCTGTCCTCTGTGGCGTTCCTCAGGGAGTGAATTTAGCCCTTGCAAGGGGAGTGGCAGCGTGGGCTAGTGGGTAGGGTGCTGTACGAAAAGCCAGGAGATCTGGGTTCCGTTCCTGACTTGATTGCTGGGTGGCACTGGGCGAATTATTTCCTCTCTTAACTGTGAGGGACTCTGTCTGAATGGAGTGTGCCTAGCCGGGGGGGGGCTGAATTCTTCTGGGGACTGTTTGCTCCACCAGAGATTTCCAGGTGTACAAATCACTTTGGCCCAGCTCCTCAGAGTGCCTACCTTCTACCAATTGCAGCGGCACTTTGGTGCCTTAAATACTTCTGAGTCTTAATCTTTCCCATCTGTATCATGGGAATCATACCTCCTTCCCGTGGGGGGAATGAGGGGTTGTGAGGTGCTCAGTTATCCAGGTCTGACAGTAGATGGAGAAGTGCTACCGCAACGCAATTACTAATCATAAAGATGAGGGACTAATCAGCTGTCCCCCTGTAGTGGCCTTTGAGGAATTCAAGCTGTGTAATTAGGAGGCCATGCTGGTCAGGACTCATTAGCCAAATGGTGAGAGTAGCCGTGCGTTGTTATTAGTTTCTGCTTATCAGAAATGGGACAATTTGAGATGAAAACTCATATTTTTAAAAAATCCCAAATCTCCTCCTGAGAGATGGTTGAAACTGGAAGGATTTAAAAAATGGGATTTACTTCTCTTGGCTCCCTGCCCCCTGGGATAGTGACACATTCATCATCTCTCACTGTCCCGTTGGCGCTCGGTGAGATATCCAGACATGCTTTTGTGCCGGATGGTGTGATGCCTGGGTCCGAGAGGCTGCCGGGAGCTGTCTTTATTTCCCACTCAGCACGTTGCCACTGGAACTTCCAGTAAATCGGTGAATATTTGTAAATGATCTTGGGCAAAATTTCCAGATGCACCTAAAGGCCTGTCTATACGAGGAAATTATTTAGAAGTGACGACATCTGAAATAACAACTCCCGAAATACCGATTTTTGAAAGAAGCTTATTCCCTGAGGAAAGCAGGAGTGCAGATTTCGAAATAACCAACCCGCTAGTTCGAAACAATGGGCTTGGTCGTGTGGAGGCTCCGCTTATTATTTTGAAATAACCCCTAGTGTAGACCAGGGCTAAGTGTCTTAGGAACCTAAATCTTCAGCGGTGACGTAGGCACTTAGCAGTGTAAGCCTCAGGCTCTTAAGTCACTTTGGTATGTCTGAAAATTTTACCCGGTGGCTTCTACGATCCCAGACCAGGGCCCATTGGAAATCTCTCTGTAGAGGCTGGATCCTGCCTGTTGGGCTGGATTTGACCAGAGCTCCCTTCACAGTCCAGCATGTTGTGTTGCAGTGTGATAGTTGCATTTCTCAAGGTCGTCATTTCACTGCCCACATACCAGGGCGGCATGACGATGCCATTAGAAGTCCACGGCAGCTTGTTGACACGATGCACACATCATACACTGGGCAAGCATGTCTCATTGTCAGCAGCCAGTGGGTAACACACAAAAACCCCAGCAGCTACGATTCGAGAGTTAATAGCACCAAGACGAAATCCAGGCCGTTATTCCTGGAAGGACTGAGCAAGACGGTGAAGTGGGATGCTAGGCAGACTGTGCTTTCGCTGACCTGCCAACAAAATAATCCCGTGAAATCAGCTGTCCTCAATTATTCATGCTGCCCAGGCTCCCGTTGTTTTTGTCGGGGCTGCCTTGTAAACGCGGCTCGTCTTTCCGAAGGCAAACAACAACTTTCCATTATTTATGAACAGATTTTTACAACTGCTGAGAGCGCAGCTGTGGGAGAATGCTGATTGTGGAGGGTGGGTTCATCTCAGGCAGTATCTTTCTGGTTCGCGTGGTGGCGTTCCCGTCCCGGTGTGACAAGGGAGCACGCCGCAGCGATTGCTGGCTGCGCAGTGTGTGCGAGTGAAAGCGAAGGAGGCAGGCTGCGACGGACCGTAGGGCTGGCGCTCAGAGTCAAGGTGGGGCCGGGGAGAGGAGATTGGACTGAATATGCGAGCAGAGAAAGCGCCGAGAGAAGGATCAGTGGCAGAGGAGAACCTGCTGGTTTCTAACTGGAGCAGAAGCTGCAGGGTCAGGCACCTCCCTGGCTGTTCTCTGTGCTGCGGGTGGTTGGGTCAGAAGTCTGGGAATGAGGACTCCTGGGTTCTGAACTCTGCCACTGACGGTGCTTGGTCCTGCCGTGAGGGCAGGTGACTGGACTTGGCGGCCTCTCGAGGTCCCTTCCCGTTCTGGTATTCTGTGATTGCACTGCTCTGTGCCTCAGTTTCCCACGTTCCCAGGGGTTGTTGCGAGTCAGTGGGACAGAGCCAGATGTGGCCGTGGGACACGGTCCTACGATCGCCAACGAACCCCCTTCACAGATGTCTGTCCGGGGCTGGGTCCAGGGCTGGCAGGTGCTCGGAGGCTCTGATGATGAGCGCGGCGTCTTGGGTTTGGGGGAGGTGGGCCGATTTGGCAGCTGCTCCCAAGTTTGGAGGGTCAGCTCAGACTTGGGCCAGCTGGGGGTAGGGGGCAGGTGAAACGGTCAAAGGGGCACGATCCGGTCACGGCCACGTGTGTGGTCATTCTCTTTGCCTGTCACGTGCTTTGTCACCAGGCCACGAGCTACCCCATCATTAGATCCCCCTGAGAACTAGGGCACTTGAGCCTTCGCAGACCTGGCGCCTGGCGTGGCCTTTGCTCTCTGTTAAGCTCTCTGTCCCTGCTTCCTGGCGCCGCCTCCTGAGCTGGCGGGGCATTGAAACACACCAGGCCTTGGCACTGGCACGACGGGATCGGAGCGGCACAGCTTGCACGGCGGGCACCGGCAGGCTTTGCTTTGCTCCCCTCTGTCGGCACCGAAATCGAAACCCCGGTGCAGTGCTGCCTAGGCAAAGGCTGGCGAGGTAGTGGAGTGGGCCCCGGGGCTACACCTTGTCACAGTGTCAGTCTAAGATGTAGCAGGCATGGTGTTCATGCCCAGGCCTTGCTACAGACTTAGGCCGCGATGCTTTCCTGCTTCCCAGGCCGGGAAAAGGCCTGGGGAACACGCAGGGATTTACGCCGGGCCGGGGTTTCTGCTCTACTCCCTCAGGCCCTAGTTGTCTCCCAGCAGGTGACTCCTGGAGGAGCCATTGATTATCTGGCAGAACCTACCTGCTGCTGCTCTGGGAGGAAGGTACAGTGCCCGGAAATGCAGACACTAATGCTCAGTGAGCAGCACTGATGTCAATCCGGCACGTTCAAAGGGAGCCATGCCTGAAAGTAGCCCGCCCCCAGACCTGTCGAGCTGTGTACCCCTTCATATTGCAGAGACCCAACCAGCATTCCCTGTAAGCAGAGTGCCTGAGCAGTGCCACCCAGCTGAGTAACAGCATGGCCCACTGCCGGTAGCATGTGTTTTTGTGGGTGGTGCACATCACTACTGGCTATGGTGCACATAACAAAATTTATTCCGCACATTTACTATTTAAACCATTTATTATTTAAAACGGCTTTTCCAAAATAATTCTTCAGGGAAGGTCAACGCACAGGAGTAGTGCCCGTATAGAGCAGAGCAGGGGCACAAAGCAAGCTCTCTGCCCTCCCCTCCTGCTGCTCTGCTGTCCGACATCTGTCCTGTTCTGTCACACCCCTGGTATCCTGTTCCCGGCCTCACCCGAACCAGGCCTGCCAGTCCTGCTAGGCAAGCCAGCATCCATTCGGGACCAGAGCATGGGTGGCCAATCATTTTTGTGGGGAGGGGGAGACTTAAAGAATTTTGATATGTGGTCATGGGCTGGCTCCACCCAGAAGGGGCGGGACTTGAGGTAGAAGGGGAGGGGTCTGGGTGGAAGAGGCGGAGCCTCGGGACTAGCCTTCCCCCAGAGTTGTGTGGGGCCAGAGGCTTTGAAGTAAAAACACCGCAAAGGGCTCACAGCTCCTGGCCCCACTGCCTCCACATTGCCTGGCAGCCGCCGGGGGTTGCTGCATCTATTTAAAGAGCTCATGGCTCCAGCCTCTGCCTGGGTAGTGCCGCAACCCAGAGTCAGGAGCCATTTAAATAGGCTCCTGCTGCCTGAGCCACCGCCTGGAAATTCGGTGGCATGGGCAGCACGATGTAAATAGAAAGCGGCCACGTGCCGTCTGTGGGCTGGATCAAAGTGTTAGGTGGGCCAGATCCGGCCCCAGGGACGCATCTTGCCCAGCCCTGGACCAGAGGGAGGCCAGCAAAGCTGCCTCACTTTTGTCCTTCAGCTGGTTGCAAGCTGGGTCTCCAGATACAGATTTATCCCCTCGCTGCCTGCAGCCCCCGCAGTGCTGAGCAAAACACGGACCTGTCCTTGACTGAGGGCGTGACCACGACTCCCCTCTCAGGTAGCAGCCGAGCGTCAGCCTGGCTTTCCCTGTCTGCTGCCCTCTCCTTCCAGTGCGTCTCTTTCAGGAGCCGCGTGCTCAGCCACTCAATTATTCTCAGTAACTTCGTTTCTCTCCCTTCCCGAGTGACTCCAGGCGGTTTGTTGAGCGCCGCCTGACAGCTGGCAGCGAGGCAGGCGGAAAGGCTGTGCCTGGCCCCGGGTGTTCTGTTCTCTCTCTGCCCGGTCTGGATGAAAACTAGCGTCCCCCTCCATGCATGTAAGCTGACCCACAGCAGGGCAAAGTAGAAATCACTGATGGAGGAAGGGAGAGCCCTTCTGCAGGCCACTGTTTATAAGCCACCGCAGCGTAGGGATCACTTTCAGGGGGGACACGTTACCATGGAGTCCAATGGAAGGCAGAATCCAATTCCCTCGCTGAGGGAACGCTGAGTTCCATGTAAACAGCGGCCGGTTGTGTGTCCCTCCCTTGCCCAGGTCTTCTCCATCGTGGTGTTCGGCTCCATCGTCAACGAGGGCTACGTCAACGACGGCCGCGATGCGGAGCTCAAGTGCATCTTCAACCAGAACGAGAACGCCTGCAACTACGGCATCGCCATCGGCATCATCGCCTTCTTCGCCTGCATCTTCTTCTTCATCGTCGACCTCTACTTCCAGCAGATCAGCAGCGTGAAGGACCGCAAACGGGTGGTCCTGCTGGACCTGGGGTTCTCAGGTACGCCGTTGGCTGGGCTAGGCTGGCAGCGGAGGCGGACGGGAGCCGGATTAGGGTGATCTGAGGCACTAGGCACAACATCGAATGTGGGGGAGGTCCCGTTTGCTCCTTCCGGCAGGGACAACAGCGCCCCTTATCTTCTGAAGCGGTAGAGGTGGGAGCAAAAGGATCCTTGCCATTAGCCCAGCAGGCAAAGTCTGTCTGCTTGGGTGACAGGGCTACACCCACTGCATTTTGCCCCTGCCCTTCCCAGCCCTCTGCTGGGTAAGATTGGTGAGGCCTCTTGGAGCAGTGGATCTGGGTGTTAATTCCCTGTGGAGACACTATGGGAAGTTCACTCCTCTCCGAGCTGTTGTTTCAGGCTGGGTTCCCTGGAAGAGGTGTGCTTGTGGGGCCGCACAAGAGAGGTTCCAATGCTGCCTCGCTGATGAGCAGAGCACCCACAGCTAGGTTTGTTTCTCCTGGTGGTGCATATTTAGATGTGCCTCGGTGCACAAAACAAAATTCATTCCACACAAATCTGCACATGGATGGAAACAATAGAGGGAACGTTGATTTCAGGCTCTCTGCAGACTCAGGCATTTCCTCCTCATTTCCTCCCCCCCCCCTTCCTTCATGAGGGTGAGACACATTTAATTTATTTTAATACAAGCTGAGATGCTGATATAACCGTCTGATGCCAGGAGCAGGATCCTTGCTGTTTACTGCTGCTGGGTCCTTTGGCAGTAGCTGGATCCACTGATCTCTATTTGGCCTGAGGTTCTGGATTTCCAGCCCTCTCGTTTTAAAAGTCCGAAGGCGATTTTTTTTCCAGCACCAGGGGCTTGCATCTGTCTGATCCCTAATGAAAGCGCCTGCGAGCTCATCATCACATCACCATGTTAAGAATGAAAAGTGCCAGGCAGAACACTCCAGGAATTCTGTACCCAGGTAGCAGGAAATAACCCGTAAAGACTCTGTTTCTGTTACATCAGAATACTAGTGTGCAATGCTCAGAGTTCCAATGTCTCCTAAGGGGTTTAGATGCCTAGGGTCTGTTCGTTTAGGTGGGAATTGAGCATCCAAATAAACACCTTAGGCTACTTTGGAAGTCTTCATGTCAAGGCCTGACCCTCCACTGTCTTTTAGCTCGTATAGCCATTTACGCTGTGCAAGGTGTGTGTAAAATGCTCTTCGGATTCAAGGCCTTATTCGCCCTTCTCTTACACTGGGGCTGTGTCTAGACTGTCAAGTTTTTCCGCAAAATCATCTGCTTTTGCAGAAAAACTTGCCAGCTGTCTACACTGGCTGCTTGAATTTCCGCAAAAGCACTGACGATCTCATGTAAGATTGTCAGTGCTTTAGCGTAATTACTATGCTGCTCCCGTTCGGGCAAAAGTATTTTTCTGGAAAACTTTTGCGCAAAAGGGCCAGTGTAGACAGCAGAGATTTGTTTTCTGCAAAAAAGCCCCGATCGCGAAAATGGCGATCAGGGCTTTTTTGCGGGAAAGCGCGTCTAGATTGGCCACAGACACTTTTTCGCAAAAAGTGCTTTTGCGGAAAAGCATCCTGCCAATCTAGACGTGCTTTTCCGAAAATACTTTTAACGGAAAACTTTTCCGTTAAAAGCATTTCCGGAAAATCATGCCAGTGTAGATGTAGCCTGGTTGTCTTCAGTGTAATTCCACTGACTTCTTTAGTAACCTGTGTAAAAGTTGGGTTTCCAGCCCCCAAGAGGGTGATCCTGCAGCCTTCACGCACGCAGTTCTCACTCCTTTCCAAGGGAATCACTCGTCGCTAGGCTTGGCAGAGTGAAATTGTATCATTTCAACAGATAATATCGGTGTTTATTTTTATGCATTTCTTTCCATTTTTAATCAATTGAATGTTTCCATTTTGGAAATTATGGGGCTGCCAGGGAGGGGCGGGGATCAGAAAATGACGGTAGATGTTCAGGTTCCAAAGCTAAGGCTTTGTAGCTGTTATGACACGACATGTCAGACTGTACAAAGGCCAACTTTAATTGGTTCTCAAGGGGCATTTTTCGGACTGTACCTATTTGTACATTTGGATTATCGTTGATGGAAATGGTCTTTGTTGGGTGGTGTGTGTGTGTGTGTGTACGGTGAAATTGACGTTTACCCACGTAATTATGGATAAAAATCGTATCCTTCCAAGCCTACTCTTGCGGAAGAGCCTTGGTCTGGCTCTAAGTTTTTACATGGATGTATGCTTGTTGCATCCAGTGCAAAGGAATCATTCAAAATGGCAGTTTGCTAAGCAGCTGAAGGCTTTGGGATGTAGCTCATAGGTGACAGTGACTGTAAATTACCCCATTTGGCCCTTTGTGTTTTCTGTCTACGACTTGCAAAGAGCTTAACTTTTCCTGGAGAGTGATCTTTGCCCCCAGAAACACCTACAACAGAAAATAAGCTACTTTATGCCTTCTAAACAAAGCCCTCAAATGCAGATCAAGTAGACCTAGGGCTTGTGAGAGACACAGCGTCACGTATCGGTGAGAGACTTGAAACCATCCAGAAGCACCGGTGTGCTTTATCCTGCCTGACACCTGCATTTATCATGCACAAGCAAACAGTAATACTCACCGGGGCCGAGAGAATCAGGACAAATCAATGCCCAGACAGTTGGCAAGGAGTGGGAGACTGTGGAACAGCAGTCCATCGGGCTAAGCTTGGCTCTCACTTATACAGGTGTGAATCCAGAGTCACTTCGCTAGAGCCAGCGGAGAAGCTGTGCTGGGTTTAGCTGACGTAAGGGAGAGCAGAATCTGGGGCTGCTTGTCACATGGTCCAGTGTAAATGAAAGAATTCCACATTAAGAGCCAGGCTCTTCAGTCCCACCTTGGGCAAAACTTCAGCTGAACTTCCCCAAGCCAGGGCTATGGTGTCAGCCTACAAAGCAAGAGTGCACAGCATTGTGGGATGTGGGGCTTAATGATAACCTAGATCAAAGAGAGCTTGGTTTTGGCTCGTCCTTCCATTTTCAGCTGCTAATTCACATTAAAGGAAACCCAGGAATACAGTTATCCCATGTGATTTTTTTTTCCTTGTAAGCAGCTATTCTGAGGGGTGTCTTTCAGTCAGCCGTGACAGGTGAAGTGATCCATGAGACCACTGGTGAGAAGGGAAGGGAGGTGAGGTGGCCCCTGGGAGAGGAAGGGTCCATAAGATCACCAATGGGAGTTGAGGTGATCCATGAGGTGACCAATGGGAGTTGAGGTGATCCATGAGGTGACCAAGGAGAGAGGAAGTGACCAATGGGAGATTAGGTGATCCATGAGGTGACCAATGGGAGATGAGATGATCTATGAGATCATCAAGGGGAAGAGAGTTGTCCATGAGATGATTAAAGTGGAGCCACCTCATGAATAAAATTTGTGAAGCTCTATCCTAAGTGATGGGGATTTAACCCCCTTCTCTTGGGAGACTCTTCTGTGATCTTACATGGCAGGTCCTCAAACCCTATATGCCCGTGTGGACACTAGGATTAGAGGTATAATATGATGCAGGAAAGGGTGCCCATTTATGTGTGTCTTAGGCATCTTTCTGTTGAGCCCATCGTCTTGGTCCCTAGGCACTTTCTCTTCAGTGCTGCCATAGAGTAGGATCCCCAATTCATTATCAGTCAAATAGGGCTAGAACTACCACAGCCTTAAAAAGCCGCGAGGGGGATGCATTTTCAAAGAGGTCTGAACTCCGCTTATGCAAACGCCTGGGCACGGCCTTTACAGGGATAGATGGAAACTGTGTAACCGACAGCACATGCAAATAACACATGCAAAACCATGTCATCAATGGGTTTGATTGTCTGTCTGCCCCTCTGCTAATGTGGGTATGTAAACACACACAGGTGTGTGTAAGGATACCCAGAAGTGAAACTTAAAAAACTTGGCTCTAGATTTTTTTTTTACCATGTGTGACAGGGTGGGCAAGGCCCTGAGCCCAGAAAAGGCCATAGAGAAGTCCGCCAGGAGGCTAGAATAGCGACAGAAGAAACCAGCCAATCAGAGGCTAGGGAGGCCTATAAAAGGAGCTGCAACGCTCAGGAGCAGTTCAGTTGCAATGGAGCCCTGAAGGAGAGAAGACCAAGGGCCACTGGCTGGCTGAGGGAGCAGCAGTACAGTGAACAGCTCCCCGGGGAGAGCTGCTGAGACACTGTGGACTGGAATATAAACCCCTGAGGTCAGGGCAAAGCAGTTTTCTCCAGGAGGGGAAGCTCTGGAGGCGCTGTCATCCGGAATGAGGCAACAGACCGAGAAAGACTCTGCAGAAGGCACCAGGATGGGCTCCTGGTGGAGGTGTGCCTCGGAAGGGGTTGAGATTCACCAAGAGTAAATCACCCGGAGGGCCGAGTTGCTGAGGAGGCTTTCGACAGCAGACGGGGGCGCTCGCCTGAGGTGGGCCACTCCTCTGTTACACCATGTTTGCCGATTTCCTGGCTCTGCTTTTCTGACCTGATTGCTGCCCAAAACATTTTTTCCGAGTAGGACCGCGCCCGTGCACCCCATTCCTCCCCTCCCCCACCTCTCCCCTGACGCTCACAGATAAAGGGCAGGCAGCTAGGTGCTTTCATAACCAGCATCTGTACAAAACGGTCTCTCGCAGCAGAGACTCAGTGCTTCTTGTAAGCAGAGCCGCTGTAGTCCCACAGATCAAAGACTCCCCTCTCCACTTGCGCTCTGACAGGCCTCGCGCATCCAACCTGCCCGCGGCGGCCGCCGAGCCGAGCTGTACGACGCACCGAGCCAGCTCTTCAAATTCAGTTTTGTGTTTCAAACCTCTCTGGACTAATCTGTCACGGTCCAGAGCAGCTGTACCTGCATTTCCCCACAGTGGGCCCACAAGAACTCCCGCACCTCAGCTGTTGCCGTCTTGGATGGAGACCCGCATCTCTCTCCCCTCTGTCCCAGGCTGCAGATCCCTGCTTTCACTGTGCCTTTCCCAGCATGACAGGCTGTCCAGACACACCTGCTGGCTCCGGAGACAGGTTAACACGTGTAA